CATCTTGTGCTGGACTTGCTTGACATTGATGTGTGTATGTATCAAAAGAAGAATTCGAGATGAGGGCATATCGGCTGTGCTAACCGCCATTCGCTTCTAACTCCATTCGCTTCCGACTGCACAACTATGGCGACCCGGAGGCCACTGCGGCAGCGTGTGCAGGGATTGGTATCGTCTTAAGTCGAAATGATCCTTTCCTGATGGGATATCCGCTGATAGTCGCCTGTTTTTTTTATGAGGACAGCGTCCGTGAACAGCGAGAAGTTGATCGCTGTGTGTTTATCGTGTCTGTTCCCGCCCTAAACGACCCTAGCTCTTGCGACATCGAAGACAAGTTCTATGACACCTTGGGTGCTCTGTTGTGGTGATCTAGAAGCCTTCGCTGTGTGTTTGTCGTGTCTGTTCCCGCCCTAAACGACCCTGGCTCTTACGACATCGAAGACAAGTTCTATGACACCCTGGGTGCTCTGTTGTGGTGATCTAGAAGCCCAGATACCGTTGTGGTTGCCGGCGATCTGAATGCACTAGTTGACAGGCTTAGCCCATCTGAGGCTCACTTAAGTTATCGACATGACTGTGCGAGATGGCTCAGCGGTTAGGGCGCGAATTTGCTGACCGGTAGGTCCGTGTATCAAGCCCGACCACTGAGTCTCGACTCCCCCTGTCTAAGCCTGGGTAACATGGCAATTTCCCATCCCTCATGCTTCTTTCGGGTGGCACGGCAATTAGACGCCGAAAGGGTGCTACGGCTGAATGATCCTTCTCGATGAACCGAACTCGGTGCGTACAAACAATGGTTAACGATTGCTTCAGTTGTGTGCTAACCGCAGATCTTTTGTGCAGTGCTAACTTCTGAAATCACCCAAGTCGCCCAACGGCGGGCCGGCTACGAACTCAAATCGATTACATTGCAATTAGTTACCGATTGCGCGAATCCGTAATTGATTGCCGATCGTTTTTGAACACATTTGTGAATTCTGACCATGCGCTTGTCCGGAGTCGCTTCTCCCTTCGTTTTCCAGGATCGAGTAGGTTGCGGAAAAATCGCTTAGCAACTAAAGGCTAGCAAATCCGGGTGTTTGACGAACTTATCACAATCGTCTTGTGGAGTCTCCTAAATGCTTCACCATCAAATGTGAATTCATACTGGGACAAGATTGCTACTTCTTTGCACAGTGCTGGGAGCTTTGTCTGTGGTACGACCCTACGCGGCCTACTCGAGCACTGGATAGCAGACCGAACAGTGGTACTGCTTAAATCTTTCAGAAATATTCCAGCTGCTCCCGAACACAACTTGACCCGACGAATTATCAGACATCCAGTGAAAGTGAGCTTCCCCCGAGAAAGGACGGGTTATAAAAGGTCGGCCCCAAAAACTGAACACTCCGATCGCCCAAAGGTTGACCGTAACCGCCGGCGCATTATCCAATACGGTCGAAACACTTTTAAAACCAAAGAGCCCGGTGCTGCTCAAAAGGCATCTACTGTGCACAGCACAGCCGCATCTGAGACAGTAATGTCCTTACTCCCTGCGCCCCAGGTCCAGGCCGGCCCCCTACAGCCAAGTAGGTCAGACTACTGAATCATTGGCTCGGGGAAATGTCCCCCAAGAAAACCCTAACAACCGATGTCTCGTGGTCCACACTCGAGTCGGAGGCTAGTGTCAGGGTCTCCGAACAAAACCACACATCCTCTCACTGTCTTATGGGTCAGACTTTTGAGTCAAAGGCTCAAGGTGATGCGAGATGGCCCAAGTGGTTAGAGCGCGAATCTACTGACCGGAAGGTCCGCGGTTCGAACCCGAATTCCGCCACTCGACATCCCCTGTCTAGGCTTGGGCAACCTGGCAGTATCCCAGCCCTCGTGCTTCCTTCGGGTGGCATGGCAGTTAGGCACCGAAAGGGTTCTACAGCTGAACGATTTATCATCTCAACTAAACCTCCTTCGGCTCGGTCAACCAGGAAGTATCATTTTCCCTTACAGCTCTTCGCCCACCGGCTTTTTCCCTAATTCCCTCCCAACCCATTATACAATGCAGTGCATTGAACCCATCTGCCAACCCCCCAGCTACTGTTCCATGTCTCAACCATCGCCCAGGAAAATAACCCAAAATAATCACCTACTGACCTCAAAAGATCTGATCCACATTGCAGCCCTCAATGTCTGTACTCTATGTCAGATTGGGCAACAGGCATCCCTTGCTGAAACTTTTCCCTCTCTATCGATGGATGTTGTGTTTCCGAAATGCGCATACAAGACCCCACTTCAATCTTGCTACTCAAGCCGCTTAGGACGAGCCCAGATGTTCCACATTTCACTCTTCGGGTATTCAGTGATCATGACGCAATGGCCCGTGGTATTTACAGTGTGGCAGTTGCACTCAGCCCTAAGGCTGAAAGCGCCTTACTGAACTGGATCCCAGTGAACAGTCGCCTTTGCGCTATGCGGTTGTCCGGCTCAACTAAGGTTAACGCAGTTCGATGCGGTAAACCGTGTTCCTTTGTCGTATCAGCTTCTCTGTCAAGGGTCGAGTTTACAATGCTGCGGTGCGCTCCGTATTACTTTATGGATCAGAAACCTGGCCGCTGCGCGCCGAGGACGTCAAAAGACTTTCAGTGTTTGACCATCGATGTCTTCGGAGCATTGCCCGAATCTGGTGGGAACACCGGATCAGCAATTCTGAAGTACGTCGAATGGTATTCGGGAGAAATAACTCACCATCGATAGATGAACTGATCACGCTGCA